GACTTAATCACAAACGAATTTGAGTCGAATTCCACCGTAACATACAGTACCAGTGATAAAATCGAGTTGGGGAGTTTTTGATTTAGAATTTTAGAGAAGCAAGCATTTGTGTTGGGGAAAATAAAAAATAATTACAGGACATTGTAATTTTTAATATTCTGCGCATTAAATTTATTCTTGAATGATTTTATTCTTAAGTTTATTCTTAAATTTATTCTTAAATTTATTCTTCCTGATTTTACAGGAAGCTGAACTTGGAGGCAGTGGTTCATTTGACCAATGAATCTTTCATTTGCTCTCAAAACACATGGATACATTTTCATTATTTTTCTCTTTTCTGTATCAATGTCATAATGGGAAAAAAGCCTCCAAAATTTGAGTTACGGAGGTTTGAGAAGGAAAGCCTTGAGTTATAAATTTTTTCAGTGCATTGTTTCAAAGGGAATTCAGGCAGGGACTCGAAAAATTTGACATACGAGAGAAACTTTGAGAGGTTTGAGATATTGAGGTTCAATTGTAGTACAGGTGATACCTTGCAATTTGACCTCCCATGATTCAACAGTCACATTTGCTGGGAGGTTGACTTGCAATTTGACCTCTGTCCCAGAATTATTATTATTTTTTTTAACATTTTCTGCTGATATATCTCAATTTTTCAAAGTGTCTTGCAATTTGACCCTAGTCTGGCAATGGATTAGGGTCAAATTGCAAGGTACCACCTGTACTCTTTTCTACAATTTAAAAAATGAGAGCAGTTTCCAAATAAAAATTATGAATAATGCTCATATTTTTCTTTTTTTGAAATTCTTATACTCACCTTTGTTGAGAAGAAATAGGCTATCATTTTTGTCAAAATTGCATTAAAATTTACAACCAAAAACCTTAACATGCTGTTGTATGGTAAAATAAATATTCCTAAGTACCTCTGCATATTTTCGATTGAAATGAAACACGTCACAGATCACTTGATCCAAGAACTGAATTTTTTGCACGAAGTCCAATTTTGGAATGTTGCGTTCCGTTTTCGAACTTGAGATTGCTCATCCTTGGCACAGACATGAAGACACAAACTGATCACAAGTCGGATAACTTTGTCTTAATTCCCAGTAAGTTATGCAGCGCAGTACTGTATTGCAATATTTTCTCACACATTCATTAATTTTGTATTGTGGCATAAAATATAGCTAAATATAATATATCCCTCTCCCCGTGTGGGTGCGGCGAATAAAGAAGGAACTTAGCAAAGCGAACAAAATCAATTTACAAAATCAGACAATTGTTAAAATAGAATAAATGAATAAGAAGCTTATGCCAGAGTCTCAGACACTTGGTCTGTTGGCAGAAGACTTTCTTCAATCATTTTCGTTGTACTCATTGTTTAACCACGTCTGATGCAAAAACTGGACTGACATGGGAATTGTCATGGAAGGCTGATGAGCAGAAGACAAGAATTGGCACCTCGCTATTTAATAGAACGCAAGGTAGTTAACTTTTCAGAAAAAATTAACCTTACTCACTCACAGAAAAAGAAAACACTAAAACGGAAACCAAAGCCTTACAAATTCTTGCGACCAATGATCTGCTTTGCTACAAAAACGTTCATACTTCAAATCCCCGCTCAAAAAGTCGCACGATGATTTATTCAAATCTTGAGTTTTTTTTCAGAAGCATTCGATTTTGAAGCCAATTTACCTCAACTTGTAAACCAAGAAAATGTTTCGTGATTCAGCAGGAAAAAAAACAACAGGATTTTTTTTTCCCAAAAGTGAGGGTAAAAAACTAATGGAAGTGAAATTTTTCCGAATTTATTTTTAAACTTACTCATTGATAGACGATTGATTCGTGGATATTTTGATACTGCACTTTTACTTACACTTACGCGTCATATTTGGATGCTTAGTATTAATTTCACTTACTCTTCTCGCGAGCAGTCAATTCATTAACACGTATTCTACAAATAAAACGTCCACCTTTTCGCTTGGAAAAATAGCAGCTTTATAATAAAGTTACTGCATTTTGAAAGAAGAAAAAAAAACACCACTTCGAATGCAGACGGGCTATAATTAGAATCCTCGACATCAGGACATTTTTCATCTGACTCAAACTGAAAATCACACGAGCAAGAACAATAAATGCGATGCATTTGCGGCGATAAAAACGAGCATTGTGTGAAAATCACGAAGACTCAGCAGGAGAAAAGCATAGACGTCGTCGTTCTTGCGTTGATTTCAACAGGAAAAGAGCAAGAAAGAAAAATGAAAGAGAAAAGAAGCTTTCAGCAGAAAGTCGCATTTCCGCGAGATTTTTTCCCACCCGCTGTTTGAAAAATAAAAATTTTATTCTTCATGCTTTCCCTTTTCACTGCCTCATTCCGAATGGAACCGGTGAAAATTGACCATCAAATCAACATTTACGGTATTACAATTCGCGACTACGTATATGAATTTCCATCATCAAAGACTAATGGGTTGAAGCAAAAATGCCATTTCACTGTTATCTTAAAAAGTGTCCTGGATTGCCAAAGAAAAAAAAAAAACTCTCACAATGTTTGAAGCAATTCTTGATAAATACAACCCCAAAATTTTAATCCATTTCTGAATTAGCTTCACAAAAGCAAGTTTTCTTTGAAAATGAAACACCAAATCAGATGGGAAATTCTTTATGAAATCCTAAAAGATAAAAGTTGAAGTCTATTTCTTTTGCCCCAAGATTCACAGTTTTCAATTGCACAAAAAGCAGAGCAAATTTGCACACACTTAACAGGATTATTACTTGTGCTGTACTGTCTGGGATGCTTGAGAATATGGCAAATGGTTTCTCCCTCTCTCTCTCTCTCTCTTCTCTTCCAGGAATCATAGTCACCTGACATATGTCAATCCTGATTGGCTGCAAGCAGAAGGTGAGTAATTTTGAGTACTCAATTAATGTGGACTGCCATCTAACAGTAGTCCAATTTGATTATTCTCAAAAATTCACATTTATTTCTCAGACAAATTTATTGTACAATTGCGCATAGTATAGCAGTACGTTAAGGTACCAAATTACTCTGTCACAACATTTGAACAGTTTTAAAGTGGTTAAAAGTGTGTCTCTTGATAATTGGTGCTTTTTCAATTTTAAAATTTTCTGGTCATCCAAAAACTCTGAAGTTTTGAAACATTGCATGACAAGTGTGCAAAGTTTCAGCTACATTGGACATTTAAAAGTGGGTGAAATTTCAGTTGCAAACTTTGCTAAATCTGGATACACCTTAGACAGACATACATACAGACATAGACCAGGTCAAGTTGAATAAAAATCTATTAAAAATATTATTCCAATTTTGTTGAAAATACTGCATCACTCAATCAAATGATTCAGATTTTAGGCTCCTGTTCTTCACAGTGGGTATTGTTTTGTGTCTTATTGCAGAAACAATATTGTATTTTGACATGGAAGTCATCTTTCTTTTTTTTTGGCTATGATACATAATTTTCGAAACAAATTTTCTTTGAGGTGACCATCCTCAATTTTCACTAGGATTACTTTTTTTTGCGAAATGCTAAAACTGCTTCGTCTGTTAATTTTTGTAATACAAGGTTTTGTTCGGAGGACAGCAGCAGGTACTTAGCTGAAAATTTACTGCTCCTCGGGCTAATAAATGTTGGGAACACTGCCGCTTCAAACAACAGCCACGAAATCACAAAACACTTGAAACCATAGAAGGTATGCGACACAAAAGAAGCAAATGCAACTCAAAACCCCCCACATCCGCGACACTTCCGCAAAACCTCAGCCGCAACCCGGCAAATTTTTATCTCTATTCTGCGCGAAAACGGGCCTCGCGCAATATATCTGCATGATTGCCGTTTTTTTGTTTCTCTCCCGCTCCTCCTCATACACCGGCAGAAAATAACCCCCGCAACATAACCTTCGCTCGCATTTAATCCCCCGAACCCCACCCTAATTTTCCCGCTGAGCTCATTTTTTAGAATAATATCAAAAATTTTAAAAATTCCATCTTTCTAGCAATTTTGGGAAAGTCTCATGTCAACATGATATTATCCAAATGTTGGGTGATATTGTTTAAAGTTTCTAGTCTCCCAAGGTCAAATAGCCTGTATGTTGGGATGTCTGCATTTTTGGGTCTCAAAAGTAATCCACTGCAAAATTCAGTATAGCATGTGGACAACCTTGACATGCAGACAATTTCACATAGGAACATTTGTTTTTCAATAAAAAAGGCCCAACATATGGACACTGACTTGACATGCAAACAATGCATGATAAATGTACCAAAATTAATGTCAGGAAAATTGAATTTTATTAGGCTCAATTGCAAGAAACAGATATTTCCAACCCTAAGATATATGCAAGAAAAATTCTTTGGTATAATTCTCCCATCCATTCACCTAATTTAAAAAATTACCTATTGCATAGAGGCAGGACTTCCTTCTCTCTTTGTGACTTGAATGTTATTTTTACAGATGCCAACATTTCAATGTATTGTACAGAGGTACACTATTCAATGCTCCTAATGTTCTTATTGAGTTGAAAAGATATTCACTGAATCAAATTCAAGCAAAAAACAAAAACAAATTTTTAATGGAATTCTGAAGAATATTTCTTCCATAAAACACCACTTGAAAATTATATAATCTAAGTCTATGGGAAAATGATACTCAACTTAGGGACACTCCTGGTGCACCAATGATGTCTGCATCTGGGGGTCTCACTATATAAAAGCAAGCATACCCACAGGAGTTTGACCTTGAAAAACCATCCAATAGAACCCCGTCTCATGGGTCCTGTTCAGTGAATCTGATTAATTTCCCAGACATTGAAACCGGTTCGCAATATCTGATGATGTACTAAACGAATAGCTCCCAAAAAATTTAATGGGCCGAATTATGGTTCGTCCGGGTTTGCTACGTTACTTATCTCCTAAATGTTTTATTTCAGGTGAACTCCACAACAGAAGTGACGACGATGTCGGTCCTGCGAGGAGAAAATGATATGGAAGTTCCCTTTACTGGCCCTCCAACTGGGTTTTCTCGCTAGCATCATCCTCGTGCTCGTCGTGGAAACCGCGAATCTCCGCCAAGCCGTGACCTCGGGTCACACCTCACGTCCTTCGCCTCCTCCTCCTCCTCCTCCTGCTCCTCCAGGCAACCCAACAACAATCCAGAAACATCATAGTCCTCCCGAAAATCCCGTCGAAATTCCTTCACTAGTCATACGAAAGCACAGCATCAGAGACATCATCGATTCGCAACCCAGGCTGCATTCCAAACGTCTCCGTTCACCAGCATCGGGAATCGCTGAGATGGGGATCTTTCATCGTGGGTTCGATGACGCGGGTTCCTCGGATCAGGGATTGAAAGCATCTTTGTTCTGGGTCGAATGTCGTGGACACGAGGATTGCGAGGCTGGGTTCTTGTGTGTGCAGGACTCGAACCCGGGCGAAGAAGGGTTCCGACGCAGCTGGTGCCGGAAATGCGACGGATTACGCGAGGTCTAGTCCCGTGCATTTGTCTGTGTTTTTACCCCCGCACTTTCCCCCTAGCAGGAAATGGCTTTCTCATAATCTCCCATGTGATCCTTCAATAGGACAAATCGATCTACGCTAGGCAAGGACTGAGAATTGTCAGAGAGTAGACTATTTTGCATTAGAATCTCATTCCAACGAAACTTGTTATGACGAATACCGTATTTACTCAAGTACCACGCGAACCCTTTTTTCCCAAATTTCAGAAAAAAGGGGTGCGCATCATAAGCAGGTACAAAATTTTCAAGAAGTTTTCGAAAGTTATGTTTGCATTATACTTAATTATAATGGAGAAATTTGGAACAAATCTAACAAGAAAACATTTTTGTATTGAAAAAGTTGAAAATTCATCAGATTTTTGTTCATTCACGCCAAAAGTCAAATTTTTTGTTTTATTTTTGAAATTTTATGGTTTTAGATTCACTAAAAATTGGGGTGTGCGTCTTACTTGGAGATAAGATTTTTGCAAAATTTTCAACTAAAAAACCCCTGCGCGCGCCTTACTTGAGGGCGCGTGGTACTCAAGTAAATACGGTTATTGATAACAACAAAATCATTTTTTTAAGTTGACCATATAGTGTCCTGCCAAAAAAATGACAATATTATTCAAATCGCTATATGACAAATGTATCGTCATAACAAATTTATTTCAAACTTCTTTTCCTACTTCACACAACAAATCAAATCATTCTTTGGAAGAAGAACAAAAAATGTGGAATGCATCAGCGCTTTTGAAATTTCAAAAAAATTAAGGTGAACAATGATTCCAAATTCAGAACTGAAGCACTTTTTCCTGGAATGAAAATCATAGGAGTAGTTGGGAATCAGGGACAAAACATGATCAGCATGTAACACTGCCTAGACTAGTGTCCCCTTACCCTGCCTTCAGACCTTAAGGCAGAAAATTAAAAAAATATAAACTGGAGTCTCCAAAAATCTCAGGGTAGTAAGAAACATATCAGAAACTTGGCTTTAAATGCTTTCTAAGAGAAAAGAAAAAATAATCAGACAACATTTTTTTTTGGAGGTTTTTATTTGTGGCAAAAAAGTAGTCATAAGAAAATTTTGAGCAGTACAGAAAATGTAGGAAATATTTCTCTAAAAAAATAAAAATGTCAATTTTTTTTTCTAGCAAGAAACATTTTCAACAGCTTGTGATGTGGATGGAAAACCCTTGAAAAAATTGGAAAGTTTTCACTCATTGGCTTGCAGTAAACAACTTCAACATTTTCAAAAAAATCTTTAAAAAAAAATTCCACATATAACCTTACAATAGGATGGGCTAAATAGTTTTTTTTTTCAAAGTGTTACCTAGTCTAGGAATACCCAAGGTAAATCATGAGTGGGACAACCCTCGTATATCTTGTACATCAGCAATAAAAAATAGGCTTGAGATACTTAAATTAATGTGTATCATGATCATACATAATTGTGCATAATTCTGAAAACTGCGACAATGCTTCTGCATGGATCTTGCAAAATGGAATTTTGTTATGAGCCCTAAATTGCTCTGCACAAGTCCCTGGACTTCGAAAAACTCAGTAAAAAAAAGGGTTTCATTTCAATATATTTACGGAGGAGGGCAGTAAAATGACAATTGCCAGCACAGGATGCAAATGCAGTCGCATTTTTCTTGCTTCTTCCGTTGAATTTACATTTCTAACTAAATTCAAACAAAAATTCTAATTTGATCGCCAAAGGCGGTTGTCTTCCTCCGAATCACTGAACGCATTGATCAATACTGTATTAGACTAGGTATTTTTTAAATTCACACAGAAATCAAAGAAAGATATTCGAACGACGGATACCTTCAACAAGAACTTAGATGTAAATAAATCGTGCGAGTCTTACGATCGCCGAATAAGGTTCAATTACAATGGTGCGAACAATAAATATGCATCTTATAACCAATAATACGTTATAATTAATCTAACGGAGCAGTTATTAATTCATTGAATTGCCGTCTCGCAAGAATTGATAGCTTGGCTATGGAAATTTGTAGTTCGCAATTTGCATCCTTCTACACTAAAGTAATATTCAACTGGCGGATTATGTGGTCGACTTAGGCCAGAGGAAGATCTTTGCAGATAAAGTTCAAATCTTTTAAGAAGTTTGATTACGGAAAGTAATCAACCATCAATGAATAAACCCCCAGATGAGCCGATCGCGGGTTCGTGGCTTTGCTAATGAATTTTAGATGTTCCATCAGGTTTTTTTTTTACTTCCTTGTTCGAATTTTGGAACGAGAATTAATGCTGCGGCCTTTTTGCTAGACAAATATGCTTCTGCTCTCCAATTATGGAGCTAAAACTCTTGGATTGAGATTTACAGTATTTACGTTTATGCCACATGAACTGCGACATCTTGGTGAAACTGAACTTGATTAAATTTACATGGGTTTTAATGAGTCTTGTCAGTGTAGTGCTTTCCTCATGGAATTTTAGTGAGAAGAGGATATACAGTGAGACCCCCACATGCGGACACCTCAATCTGCAGACATTTTGACATAGGGACACTTATTTTCCCATAAAAATTGATAAAAAGGCCTCACATGAGGACACTGACTCAATATAGGGACATTTTGTGATAAAATTGCAAATACATTTCAAGACAAATTACAAGAAACAGATATTTCCAACCCTAAAATTGATACAAGAAACATTCTTAGGCATTTCTCTCACCAAATTTATGATCAATTTAGCTAATTTAAAAAAGTACCTCCAGCATAGAGGGACTTCCTTCCCTCTTTTTTACTTGAATGTTATTTTTACAAAGAATGCCAACATTTATATGTATACTGTACAAAGGTACCAGTATTCAATTCCCCAAATGTCCATATTGTGTTGAAATATATTGATTGCATCAGTTTAACTTGAGAGACAATCTTTATTTTCATGTAATTATGGTGAGTATTTTGAACATAAAACACCAATTAAAAATCTTATAATTTAAGTCCAAGGGAGAATGAGACTTGACTAAGGGACATTCTTGATGCACCAATTACATCCACATCTTGGGGTCTTGCTGTACGTTATACTGTAAATTGACAATGTCATTATGCTTTTTTCAAGATTCTGAAAATTCGAAAATGTCACATAAAATTTGACTAAATTTGCCAAACTAATACATTCAAGGAACTCTCGTGAGTAACATTAATCCCCTTTTGCTTCGCTAAAACGCCGTTCCGAGTCGAGCAGCCGTGAAATTAATTTGATAAATCGGCTCATTGAGAAATTTTCAAATGACCCCGGGTTTCCGCGAGACCCAATATGTCAAACCCCCGTGACCCACTAATTCAGTGCATAATGCGATTGACGGCTTCTTTCCAGTACCTCACTTGGGGCGGACTCGACCGATGCAGTTCAATCACGCAGGTTTACCCAACCCGGACACAACCCACGGAACCCCGTGAGTCATCCAAGCTTAATTCCAAGGAATGGTAGTTTTAGTTCAAATAGCTTTTAATTCAAAAATTAAATGTACTTCGTCGATTCCCAATGAATTTTCAATAAGATTGAAGTTATAGCCAAGAACTGGCGATAACAAATAGCAAAACGACTACAGGTATATACCCAACAATAAAAAAATTCGGCCAAAAATTGAAAATGAATCTTTCACGCTTGAAAATCACAAGCTAAAAATTACTCTACGATGAATTTTGTCTTTTTCATTCGATCAAAATTGGACTAAGATGCATAAAATAATTAACAAGTGTTCCCGGAAAAAAACTGCTTCCACATTTCTTCGAAATATATTGAAGAAATGCAATTTTCCAGAAACTTCAACAGAGCGCGTACTTATATGGAACTCCATGAACCCGATTTACCTTAATTATTTTGCGATAATAATGAAATTAATTGTAAGTTAAACTAGGAAATTCATGGTCTGAAAAAAAGGAATTCTGAAAAAAAAAAGTTGAGACAACTGGCGAGATAACAGCTTTCGTAAACCCTTTTTTCGGGAGTAGAACTACGGAGACTGGAAATTTGAAGTGAGAGGAAATTACCGACATCCTCAACCCGACGTTTGTGGTTTTTTTCGAGATGACGAGGAACACTTTGTATCCTCATAAATGAGCCAGGAAAGCTCATTCTCTTATTCCGCCTATTGACAAATTGTTTTTCCCAGCACACACTTCATATTCATACATTATTCGTAAATAACACTGGGATTTTCCGTAGTAGTTATTCCTTACTACACTTACACTTACTGATGGGATGTCAGCTAAATTGTATGGGTAAACAAAAAGTGACTCACGAGCTTAAAGAAATTGTTTCAAACGATGAAATTACCAGGAGTCCTCTTCTCTGACAAGATCATGCTGCTGCCTGAAGCAAGAGTGAAATGAAGAAATGAACTATTTGATGAAGCACATTTTCAGGTCAAATTAATTGAATTCTTTAAGGAACATATGTGCCTCATGTAGTTGATGGGCACATATGCTGATATACAAGGTGTGCCAAAAAATGAAGTGATTTTTGACTTGAAATAGCTTGAATTCAAATCAAGCTGCAGCAGTAAAAAAAAAAAAAAAAAGGCTGAATGAAGCCTTGTCCAAGTGCGTTTCCAATGTTGTTAGTTTTATGGTCCCAAGTACCATAGAATGGTCACAAGAACCAGTTGAATGAAAATTGCAAAAGAATGAAGAAGTGCAAAAAACATTTTTGATCAGTAGAATGCGGCTCAACTCCTGAATCCTAATGCAAGCTTGCTGGGTGCCTGCCTCATGGCTCCATGGCATGCATTTTTTTTTATTGATGATGGATTGCTCCAAATGGGTTTACTCATTAGTCAGTGTTGAGGTGGATGGGAGCTCAACAAGGTGCATTTTCATTTGTAGCAGTGAAGTTCTCATTCTGATTTCGATGACCTTTTGTTTTTTGATGACTTCTGCTTGTGATGATCAGGAAATGGGAACTTGCCAGAAATGATGACATAAGTGCTGATGACTGTCCATTGTGATAATGAATGAAACAAATGTTGAGTAATCCAATCATACAGAAGAAATTTCCATGAAGTGGGCATCAGGAGCCATGAGGATGGCATCCAGAAAAAAACATTGGGATTCGGCAACATCCCACTGTTGAAATTCTTGTTTTTTTTTTCTTGCACCTCTCAACCCCCTCCTAAAGTTGGTGAATTTGTGCACCCTTTTGAAGGCAGCATCAAGTTTCCCAGGTATAATACTGGCCTTGTATGCCATATCTTCCTAAGCACAACCCTGGGGAATGGTTACTTTTGTTGAACTTTTTTGTTGAAAGTTTTCTTTCAACTGGTTCTTGGACCATGCCATGGTACTGTACTACATAAAACTACATACCATTGGAGAGAGAATTGAACAAGTTTTTCATTCCCCATTTCTTTCACTGCAACATCTCAATTTGCAAATGAGCTATTTCAAGTGAATAATTTGTTCACTTTTCTATGGTCCACCCTGTATGGTCAAACCCCTTATTCAAGAGACCAACAAAATTTTTAGTTGAGGTTTTGAACTAAAGAAACAAGCATTTTATGGGGAAAATGAAGAGTTACAGAAAATGTTCCTTGGTGATATTCTGAGCCTTCAACAGCTTCTCTATCAATTGAGAGGATGCTCAACTTGGAGTCAGGCTGGGTTCATTTCTCCATTTCATGTCACTTCCTTTCAAAACACATTAAGTTACATTTGTATTGCTCTTCCCTTTGCTGTGTCATTAAAATAATAGCAAATCGGCGTCTAGGAAATTTCAGTTGTGGAGGATTGAGGAGGAATGCCTCTTAGTTCGGGAGGTTTTTAATGCATTTTCAAGTGATTTCCGACAGAGAGTATTTGACTCAAAAGAAGTTCGAGTTCTCAAGGCAAAACTTTTCTGGATTTGAGTCCTTTTTTTCTTCATATCCAGACGCACGTTTTTTATTCCAAAATTATTATAGAAATTCCAGGTGTCTTTTATTTTTGACGCCGTCTTGAGTTCCCAGGATAACAGCACAATTGCTTTCAATCGAAGCAATCTTCTGCATTAAAATTAATCCTCAATTCAAACCAATTCTGGCGCTCGATTTCAGCGCAAGAATCCAAATTTCTGCAGTGTCTGAGAAGCTCAATCTGGTAACGGAAGCATGAATTAACAGCAATTCGACTCACATGATTCTTGATCGAATTTAATGCCATAAAATCGTGTTTTTTTATTCGCGCGATTGTTTTTTTTTTTACTTCTCTTTGAGAATCGGAAGATTGCATGGGTGTAATTCTCGCATAAAATTCGGTATTCCTTCAGTCACAGAGAAAATCGGAACACTCGTCCGCCGCGCCTACTCCCCCGAGAAACGCCGGATCCGACGTCCCGCGTCGCCGCCCCCGCACGTGATCCGCAAACGCCAGGTTCCACAAAACCCCGACGACACCAACAGACCCTTGGTCATGGTTGAACTAGACAAGTCAACTGAGAAGGCCCGGGAGTTGATAGATCGCCTCCTCAACGTGGTGCCCGCGGAAACGGGATCCCAGAATAACCGTGACAACGGCAAAACTGGCTTCGGGCACCATGGCAGTGAGTCATTGCGAGGAGAGATTGGCCAACTGCGACGATTGGCGATGCGCAGACGGAGGAATCTGTTTGAAACCCAGCTGGAGAATCTGAACAAGGCGAAAAGAATGGTTGCCCAGCGAGTGACGCAGCAGCAGCCGGGAGCAGTGATGTACAACACTGCGCTGCCGGGGAATCTCCAGCTGGATGCACTTCAATCGCAGTTTCAACAGGTAGATTTCAACTGTAGATTTTTTTTGTAAATCTACAGTGAAACTCTTGAAGGGCCAGAAAAAAACTAGTCCAACTTGGGAAGTTCTTCAGTTAGGGGAGCCACACTTTTTTGAAGAAAAAATGTGAAGGAGGTTATAAAATGGTTGATTTTTTGGGCCTCAAACCATTAGCAGGATGTTGAACTTAAAAACAAGGGTACAATAAATCAATGAGTCACTTACTTCCTTATAAATCAGAATATAGTTTGAATTTAACACAATGCTCTTCCATTTCATTTTCCTCAGAAGTAGTACTGAGGCATAAAAAATAAAGTCAAAATGTGTTTAGGTGGAAAGCTTCAAAGGGTACCTTCCTGTTATCTCAGTACCTCATTCCTAGACTGCACTACCATTCAGACAAATCTTTAGGACAAGTTCATAATCAGGACAACCTACCAGAAACTGTGAATTCTATTTTTCTGCATTCTGCTGAAACTGATTTTGGGAGGCGGTTAGGTAAAGTTAGGTTAGGTCAGGTTATGTTGGTTACAAATATCTTTCAATTAGCATAACCTGACCTAACCTAACTTAAATTGGTCAGAGGGAAGGTACAGAGATACAGGAAAGTGGGTACTGAGATAACAGGAAAATAAGTACTGAGATAAAAGGAAAGTACCCTTCAAAGTTAGGAAGGTCTAGAAGAGCACTGTTCCTGGGGGAATTCAGACAGGGCCAGCAATAAAAAGTTTTACATGAGGAGGTTTTTTGACTTGAAAGAAGTTCAAGTTATTAAGATTCAGCTGCATATCAGTCAGACCTTTTCAGGTTGAAATATGAGGGATCCTCAAATTGAATTCCAGAGTTTTTCAGTGAAGAAGCATTTTAGCAGAGGGAAAAAAAGAATTACATGAAAGTAAATTTCGTGATATTCTAATAAGTCTTAAGCTGTTTACCAAACTTGCTGGAGGTAATGGTAAATTTGCCTCATCAGTCAAAATTCTATTCAGGCCTTTTAAAAATTCTAGCTTAAGGTTCGTGGGGAAGGTAAGCGGTGCTTAAGGAGTTATTCTTCTTGGGGGAATTCAGACAGGGACTAAACGCTAATTTGACAGAGGGAGCTTTTTCATACTTGCAGCTCTGCTGGCAACCCTGAACCTAGGATTAGTTCAGGAAAAAATCCAGGTTCACATGCTCCTAAAGTTACCTATGACACCTTGATCAAGCAGACTGATTACCAAACCCTAGGTTGTAACATTCACTGCTTGATTGGACCTGCAGCCTAATGTTCAATTTGAGCATGCAATAAAAATTCACAAGGCAAGTCAAACTTCAAGGGGCCAGCAAAATAAATCAAGTTAGGAAGGTTTTTAATTTCTTACAGGTGGAATCTCTACAATAAAATGCAAGGGGACAGAAAACATATGTTGTAGAAAGAATTTCATCATAGATAACTCATCAAATACGGGGAGACACCTTTGGGACCAAGAAAATAATCATTACACAGAATGTCGTCGTAAACATTATCATTGTAGATTAAGTCAACCTGTACTTCAAAGGGAATCCAAACAGGGACTTTAAAAAATTAGATGTAGGGAGGTACTGTATTCTACTTGAGGAGATTCGAGTTATCGAGGTTCTACTAAAGTTCTACATTCACCTTTCCAAAACAATTCACTAACTAAATTTTTAGTGAATTCACCGGGAAGATTGAAACATATGTACAGTATTTATTCCTCTCGTAAAACTGCCTTGCACACACAACAGGTTGAAACAGTGGAGAAGAAAAACGCAATCCTGGAACGACTCATGTCGGACGCGCTGCACCCCGACAACATTGCCGACGGAATAACGAAAATCCGGCGATTCGTGGAAGCCCTCAAATCCGAGCTTTGGCTCTTACCTCCTTCTCCTATGAGAACAGCGTTGCGTGACGTCGGTGCTTCCATACTCGGGTCTCTGCCCACGCCCAAAGACCTTCCGACCAACGAAAACTTCGATTCATTTCAGTGGAAAACAAATGTCCCTACGCTCCGAAATTCCGGCGACATCACACCTTCCCAGCAGCAAGCAAACATGCGAATATCGCGAACCACCACCACATCGCAGGATTGGCAGAAGTACAAACTCGATCAAGCATACAAGGTGAAAACGGAGCTGGATAAACTGCAGGACCTGGATATGAACCAACAAAAGTCTATGCTTCAACGACAGATCGACGCGTTGGCGACGCTGAAAATCATTTTGCAAGGCTACGACGACGATTCGACTTATGGACATCCAAGCATTCGCGAAGCTTACCATGATGCCAAGCAACAAACGCATGTCAAACGGGAACCGGATTCGTTCATGGAAGAATTCAATGACTCTTACCCAGTGCGCAGCAGGTCTCGACGTTCCATCACACAGACCGGAGAACCCTCACCAACAGTGCAAGAAACAATTCTCAACTTACTCCACGAAATCGAAAAAAAGCCAAAGGTGCCAAGAGAAATTCCGAAAACGCCCGAGAAAAAAGAAAAACGATTGGAAAATATTTCCGACACTCTGGCAAACTTCCGTTCGCTGCTCCAGAGATCACAGACCGCAAATGAAATTCAAACTCCACAAAAGGTCACTCGATCTTCATCCAGTGATCCGGTTGACAAAACTGCTCTCGACGCGGATTTCGATAAAGAGCTCACCCAACGCGCCCGCAAAATTACAGATGAAATCCTCCGCGACGAAATGATGAAGGCGTATCGGAATGCAGAAAAATCCGAGGAGGTGAACTCAAGTTCAAAGGAATACTATCCCAGTTTCTTCAAGAAGTTCAAGACCCGCAATATCAGCTCGGACGATGAAATTTGCGAAGCGTTATCCGAAGTTTGCCAAAAGAAGTGGAACACACTATCTTCGGAACATTTCAAAGGTGAACTAGCATCTGGTCAGATAACCGTGTATGAGTCACCGAGTAACACCAACGCGAGAACCCATGATGCCATGCAGGACTCGGAGCAAGGCGTGCGGGGATTCCCGAGGCAACAAAGCAAAATGACTCAGCAAAGCCAAGTAGGCAGTAAGATGTCCGAGAAGAACATGCCACATTTACTAAACAGAAGAGCGCCAACAGAGACATCTAGTAACCTCAATGATGGCGGTGTTGACAGGAATGAGGAGTTCATGATCAAGCAACAGCTCAAGCGCCAAATTATCCAGTAAGCTTAGGCTGAAGCCGTTTCTTAGCGGCGCAGTTTTCATCACGCAACACTTATTCCTTACCTCCCGCAGATTCGAGCGTCTCAAAAGAAGTCTGTACGGTAACACTCACGCAAACGCGAATGACCCAGAGCCGGTCATAGAGCGCATGCAGAAGCACGCCAAGCAACGATTGGCAATGGCGCTGCCCAGTGACTGCGCTCACGCACGTTCAGTTGAGGATTGCGTTCGCGTGAAACTCGCGCTTTCCCAGTCCTGTTCTTGCGACTACAACCGACCAAAACCTCCGCTGGACCCTGAAAAGAAGTACTGCATGACAATATGCTTTGACTTGTACATGTCACCTGATGGTGAAATCGACACACGTCCAAGCGACCACTGCCCGGCTGGGAACTGTAAGAGTGAAGCCCTCTTGATGAAGCCTGTACCTGTGCCTGTGCTTGAACATTCGGAGTCTCTCCATGAAATCTGTACCTGCCCGGGAGCTCCGTTGAGCAGCGAAAGCCCGTCTGCCAAGTGCTGCTCCCGTAAATATTTACTTCAATGAACATTCTAAACAATAATACAGTACTTCATACCTGGTATGTCGCACGCACTGTCGCCCGCCAATCTGATCTATTATCGTGTTCATAATCGACTGGCTCACATCAAAAGAATTATTTTAATTAACAGCAATTCTCGGAAGTAGATAAGTTGGCGCCACTCGTGCTATTTCTTCCTTCGTGCTACCTCTTACACTTGCTGCCTTGAGGACCAAATGATTCCCAGACGCCTCATTGATTTGGTAGTCTGTTCGATAGCGATATGTGTACTTTACAGGTTCGTTCTCTGCAGCAAGCAAGACAAAAAAGGAGCGCTTTCATCACATTGATTCTCACATACAAGCGTGTTGCATTTTTCAGGAACATCTTTTATTTACAGTATTTTGTTTTTGATATAAGTGTCTAGAATTCTATCGAATTCTGCTCTATTCCGGCACCCTTCAAATACTGTGCTGGTTTATTTTTAGATTATTTATGAAATGTAGACATCAAGTCAATTACTTAGGGAAAATTTTCATCGAAATTTCGTAGCGCATAAATTTTTACACGAACGTGTTTCTCAAGAAGTAAATAAAATTTAAAGAAATCGGAGGAAGAACCACAGTACATACTGTATATTCAAAGTGGCTTTTTTGAGATTTTGAGTGCATTTCTGCACAATGAATGAGCACAAAAAATGATCGCTTCGTCCTTCGACGCTCTTTCAAAAGCTATTACGCGATGAACTGATTTCCTGCGAGCAGCATACTGTTAAAGTCACAGAAATAAGCAGCACAAGGATTCATGTGATGGATTTCATCTAAAATGGAGTTCTGTTTTAGTTGAGGTCATGCACTGTGGAATCCCTAAATTAAATTCGTAAGGTTAATCAATCAAGTTGGTCGGAATAATCTAGCTTGATTGCTCTGTTTCGTTTTTGTTGCCGTACTTGTGGGTAGCTGCTTTGACTTTAGCATACGCTTTTCTGCGTGTGGATATACAGTACTGCAGAGTAATTCATCATGTTGAACAGGTTGAAAGGCAACAGTAACCTAAATGCGAAAATACACGCCATATAGGTATAATATTCAATAGAAGTACGATAGGTCAAGTCGAAGAGCTTAAATTGAGATATCGACTTATTCTTCTACTTGTTTTCCTAGCAGTACACTGTACATTACCCAGATTTCTCAAACGCCATTCACACTGTAAACATGTTCCCCAGATGATCACAGGCGACGAAGCCGATTTTAAGCAACTGAGCACAAATTCAAAACTTGATAGCAAAAATTTTCGAGAAACTCATAGCTGACTGATTTTTATTCCGATTTGCACTAAGAACCGGCCCCACCGACACCACAACTCAAACAGGAGAACACTTGCAGTAAATGCGGTGCAGTCACCAATCTGCAACCGTCGAACGCATCAGTTCCGCAGCGAAAGGAATACGCCTTAGTTGAGTACTCACTCATAGGTCCAAAGGGTGGTGAAGGTGAAGAAGGCTTCCAGGTGCGTTCCTTCAAAGTCATCAACGAAATTCCGCAAAACTCGAATCGGGCCTCTCGTGAGGAACTTCTGCGAAAAGCCTTGGAATCTGCACACACCGAAACGACGCAAAGCGCACCTTCTGACGCGGCGGATTTGAAGAGAACCGTGAAGATCATCTTGCCACACACTGATGAAGAGTTGAGCCGTGAGGATCACAAGGCTGATGAAATCCATCATCCGAACCCACGATGGCGCGAAGATGACGATTACAATCGAAATGAGGATTACTACGACTATGAGCAGAGTGAGAATGAAGAAATGCGGTTCACCCCAGCTCCAGGACTCCAGGAGAACCGACGAAAAGCTCGAAAAGTTCCACGGTTCGGATGAAGCTAGATTAATTTTCTTTTCAATAACAGAACAGAATGGTGCGATAGCTTTCATCTAGATACGTCACTTTACGGTAGTTTAAATTCAGAACGCATACTTTGCTTTCTCGAAACTTTTTTCAGATTCTAGCCCCCGAAGATTTTCTCGGTCAATTTCTGTTGATTCCTTTTCTTGATACAGCATTCGAACTTCGTTTCGTTCTCATGAAGTTCACTTCTTCCATTCCACCATCATGACATTCTTCGGATTGTATTTCCGAGAAACTTGCGTAGTATCGGTAGATGCCCCACCATCGAAAATTTGCTTCCTTACAGCAAAATTACTAACAATGAATGTTGCATTAGTACAAATCATATTTCCGCAAGTGCGCGTCATCAAGTGTTCAGGAATGAATCATTTCTTCGAAAACAGTACAGTTTTATTGTACTGTATACCAAAACCGGTTCATCAGCGAGTCCACGTGACAGGCGGGAGCATTTTTCGCATTAAGTTCCTAGATATGTTCACCAAACTTGATAGATGTCGCGTCCCCTTCCCAAAAAATGTCATGTGGTGGATTTCGCCTCTTCCCATTCATACCGAAGAATTCGTTCTCCAGACCATTTTACAATCCTTTGGCATCGTCTGAAATAATTCATACAGTTCAGCAGATCCGGAGTTATTTACTTTTTATTGTCAAATTCACCAGACTCAAAATTTTAGTGTAGTGCTTTTATGGTACATTTAATATCTACCCGCGCTTTTGCGACTCGTCAGTTTTAACTTCTATATCTGGATGAACGAAAATTAGAGCATTCAAGTCGATAAATTATTCAGGAAACTTCTTCCGTCTCCGTGCATCTCAAAACCTGACAAAACTTGCAAACCCGTGAGTTTTATCCGGTGACCGGTGTCATACTCCTGTTGAGTCACTTCGTTCTAATTTACTCAAATATACGATTTTCTGGGGATGAAAATAGACACTGGAGGAATCGAAGCCGCCGTCATCAAAATGCTAGGATCCACCCCAGGTTTAAGAAGTGGAAGGATGACAATTCTGAACAGATACCGCACATGAGTAAATCTTTGACGACCAGACTTGCTTCAGCTCTAAAGAAGCGCTTGGAGTCCATCAAAGATGACCAGTCCGGAGTAAATGATGACTACGTCGATGACCATTCTTGAATCACTGGGATGATTTTGTGAGATAACTTGAGCATTTGTGCGGATGCTTTTTCTTTTGTTGCATCTCGGGATGCAAAGTCCTGTGTAACGAACAGGCATGCGATATTTCTGCTGGGATTGTGTGCGTGATGCATCTTTGACGTGACTTTCGTGATAAAGAATTAACATTCGGAAGTATCTGCGCGACGTTCATTTCACCTTTGATGTAAGATCACAAAGCACCCATAAAATAATTGAGGAAAAAAACACAAAGGAGAAATCCTCCCATATCCAATTGTCCAGGGCGGTCTTCTGAAACGTGATTCATTTAGAAATTACTTGACGGGAAACATCAACAGTATAATTATCTACGCATCTAAAATAAATACGAAATCAGAAATCGCGAGTCGAAGCAAACATTCAATATAAACGCTGCTCACGTGAGAATACTTCGCACAAAGTGCGTCCAGTCCAATAAAATGTCTGCTGAATGCAGACTTAAGACCTATACGACCTACGTGATCTTCGTTTCAATTCACTTCCAAGAAAAACCTATGCATCTTAGACAACACGCGATCTTTTAGCGGAGGCAATCGTTTCAACTTCACTACTTCGGTGATGCTTTCCTTCAGTGGACGCTTTCTGGTGTTAAAACACAGAACTTACAGTACTCATCTTCAGGACGAATCCATGCGAAATTTAATATACATGCTTTACTACTTCCTATATTGTATTCATCTCTCCGCTTCAATCAGAGAATAGAGAATTCGAGCAACAGTGGATCCGGAAATCATCAGTCTCTCATCTCGTTAGCATCCGTGAATAGAAAGGGGGAGATTTCCATGGGGCGCGATCGGATTTCTCCAGGCAGAGAGTGCCCTTCTTTGTACTCCTGTGCGAGACGAATTCGGGATTGCGCAACGGTATCCGATCAAGCGGGTGACCCGAACAACAGCTCATTCTACGCAGTCCACGCCAACCCTCGTGTTCACTCACACTTGAAGAGTTCCTTTTCAATCCGGCGTTCGCGAACAATCCACCGAGGACCCTTGAGATAATGCACTGAGTGACTTTATGAACAAGGCTTCACAGGAATTTCCGAGATCAAGTTCCCTTCAAATCTCTGCTAATTAACTATCTCGTCAGTGACTTGTGATACTCCCATGATTCGCCCAACGCGTTTTGCCGCGCGTCTCCTTAAACGCAGCGAAGTAGATTACTCCATTTTGTTCTATCAATTCGAAAGTTATCTCGATGACTGGAGTGCATGGTCACATGTGACGCGATTACGCTAATGCAGAGAGAACGGTTTTCTATATCAGGATGTATTTTAAAATACAGACGATGTCAACGATTCGTATTCATGCTTGATGATGAGTTTGTCCAAGAATGTAAGAACACTCATTCTCATGATTATACTCGAATGAAAATCTTTCCAACCCGTTCAAAGCTAACTTTAAAATTGCTCCCTCTCCATCAGGAGGAACGGGACAGTACATCGCAGATTCCCAATAACTTTTCTTTTCATTTGAAGATAGCTTGAAGATATAGTTAGTCTTAGACGATATCATTGTTGAGCCATTAATTAAGCGGAGTTCCATTCCTAGAACAGATACGGAGAATGAACTCCATCAATTGTACTGAAACAGAACTGTAAGAGGTCCTGAGCCACGCGCAGGCGACCTCGCGTAAAAAAAAAAAAAATTGGACTCGTGCTGAAAGCTAGTAGGAGTTCAATATGCGCGCAACGCGAGATTTGCGGCGTAATTGGACGTTCACCTTTTTTCTATCTCGTTTTTATTCTGACAATCCGAGGCCACAGACTGAAACTCAATCGCTCTCCTTCGGGGCACAGGTTATAAAACACCCGAGATCCGTTACGGTCGAATCAAAACGTTGCTTCGCCTCGACGCTGTGAACCACGCAGGGAAGAAATCCCAGAAAGATTTTATGTACGAGAAGGGAATAAACGATTTCAGCATCTGAATGCGGATGATTAATATAATGGAGTCTGAAAAGTTGGGTAGGAAAGAAGCTGGAGTTGTGGTGGTGAGCTTAGCACTGCTCTTCGCCAGAGGAGTACATACAGGATACGTGGAGGCCGCAGTTGGTGAGTAATATTTCACTTATGTCACTCATTGATCAGTGATCACTCGAATTTACTTCAACGCATTGTTGTACTGAATCACCTAAATGCATAACAATCTTCGCCAACAAGGAAACGATTCTGTTACAGGACTTACAGCAGTGAAGTCCTACAAAATATATCTCGTTAATCTGTATTCGCGTTTCAGCGCAATTAAAAACTACGCAGATACTTGACAAAACAATACTGTTTACGATATGTGAAAGTCACATGACGCTGCGTTTAATACGCTGCGAAAAATCTTTTCATTCCATAAATAAGTTATCACAGTGAAATCACCACTCTCGGAAAAATTTTGGACACGATTTTCGAAGTACAGTATGCTGATGGTACCGTAAATGTACGATGCGAAAGAATATGGAAAACAGAAGAGAAATTTAATTTTCGAACTTTCAAAACGTTGTTACAAGTTAGAAGAAACGTAGGCCAATCTTATAGCTAACATGTACAGTATGTCCTCACCCCTACTGCTTGCATCCTGAAGGGTAGACATTTTCTCCGGCGATCACAAGGGATCGCGGAACAATACATACGATCCACTTTTGTCGATAATAACTTAATAAGAGATGACACGTTACTTGAAAAGCCCCCACGGATATCCCCGCAAATTTGCAACATAGAATGTTCATCATATGCATTCGAAATTTTTACTACTAATGAATGATATTTCACATATAGTATCTTCAAGCGACCGGGAACCGGTTGCCAACATCAAAAGCAACACGATCGATTGCTCCACACCGCCTCATCCGGGAACTCCGAAGTGCCGAGCGTGGCGCACCAACTACTATTACAGCGAACCCACCGGTACTTGCGAATCATTCATATATTCTGGCTGTGGCGGATCTCTCAACAGGTAAGCAATAAGAATTAGAGTGAGAGAATGTTGACTCGTGACTCCAGCGAAAATTGGCAATCAGCGTGCGCAGGAGCAGCCGTAGATGGAAAACGAACTTTTCTCTTCCATTATTGAGACATTCATTGGATATTTGGATGATTTGGAGAATATTAGCTGGAGCTGACATACCAACATAAATTTCTCCCTTCCAATGAAATGTGTGTGTGTGTTTTAAAAAATACAAGGAGGAGGGGATTTTTGGTCAGGCCTTCTTTTTTTGGATCCTGTCAGGCTTTGGTCAAGTATTGCTGAATGGTGGCCCACATGACCATCATTAATCTAATTTTGTGGCAGTGTTTAGATATCCTCCCCAGTGGAGAGCATTTCCATATCTGAAATGGCTTTTTCATCAATTCAAATCATTTTACTGGAACCTCTTGGAATCATTGCTTTCAGTGCATATACAGTAGAAACATTGATGTTAAAAAGGCACTGTTCCTTTGCTGCCAAAACTAGGTGCAACATTCTATTTTTATTTACAGTACTTTCAAATACAGTAGAAGAACAGTATCAAGAACAGTGCATTGCCAGCTATAAAATGTGTTTATAGTATGTTGCTTTTTCTCATAGAACATAATTGGGTGATGTGAAAAACATAATTTTGCCTCTAGAAACCACCCTAAACTAATCGTCCTGTTCTTGCGTTTTTGTATTGTATTTGATTTAGTGTCATCCTTGCTTAGTGCCACAAAATGTACTGATGGTGACACTAAATTGGGGATTGAATGTATTATATTAAATATTGTACTGTATCATAACTTGCTAATGCACTTGAACCTCTCTGCATTTAATTTGAAGGGATTCCAAAAATGATGGCCTTTGAGATTGAGAGTTTTCAAATAAGGTAACTTGACTTCATTTGGGTAGGTTATTAGTCAATGGAAATAATTTCCAGCCAAATTATTAGAACTGTTCATTATTCATACGTGTCCTACCTGCAGTATAACATTCAAATTTTCTGCTTTCTGGAGCAGGTGATCAAAAATAATGAAATTTAGCCCCGATTTAATCGCAAAATGGACTTGAAAGTTGAACTTGGAGAGGTTTAATTGACCCAAATTCTTTCAAACTAATGAGGTTTGAATTGCATTGCACTTTCAGAAAGTGGCCAGCTATGCTGAATTTTAAATTGGAATAAGGAGGTTTAACTTAGCATGGTCCAACTGTATGCAGTGGCTTAATTTTTACATTTACAATTTGTGCACTTTTTTCTAATGTGGCATTTTATTTCCATCAGATTTTTTTCTTTAATGTTCAGATCCTAATCAAGCAACCTTGAAAACTCCCCTTGAAAGGAACTGATTGTTTTTTGCTTCATTTACAAAAGTAGTTTGCAGTTTTCGTCATAAAAATTGTGAAGAACGTGATGGATTTAAACACTTGATCTCATGCAGCAAGAAGTTGCACAGGAACAGGCCGTCATCTGTTCTTGAAGAAGATGCTAAGATGGATGCTTGCTATGCAAGATACTTCGTCGGATCCCGATCAATACAAAAGAGCCTTCAATGAGCAAAACTTGACATAAACGTTTTTTTTTTAGTATTGCATAAAACACGGAAATAACCAACGGCTTTTCATTTCGATAGTTAACAGAACCGCTTCAGAAGTGTATGGCAGAGGAATTTCCTAAAAGAAAAGCCAAGTTCCTGAGGCAAATGGGGGTGTCAGAACTCAGAATAATTACCCGAATACATGGAAGCTTTTCCCGGGAATGATGGTGCTTAATGTTGTTTTGTATGGCTCCTAAATATTATTCTCTACTTTCATGTATCAGGAAGTTAATCATTAGTTCGGCATCTTTACAAGAAATTAGTCATCATGCTGTCAGACCCCTCAGTAACTTGTATTTCTAGGGACCTTCATCAAAGTGAGCTCTTGAAGTTTACAGATATCCCTCCTGTATTTTAAAATCGATCGAAAATTCTATATTGATCTCATGACTAATTGACTGTCAACGTTGTTCATGATTCGCACTGTGTATAATCCGAGAATCTGTTGCGTTGCTTATTTTCTCACCTACTATCATGTCATGCTAGGTACGAAACCCGATCCATCTGCGAAGAAGTATGCATTCGGCGAGCCCAAAATTACTTCAGACAGAAAGCAGGCTTCAAACTTCCGGTGGACTTTCGCGAGGATGAGCAGTTGCAGTATTACGGCGCCGGAAATCCCGATTTCTACCAGTCAACGGAAGACAACCGGAAGGCAGGGTTTAAGCTACCAGACCCTGAAAGCGCCGTGAAGGTTGAGAGTCCTCCGGTCGCGCAGACAGTCGCAAGCAAACCTGTCACAAATGCTCCACAGAGCGGAGGCCTTCGAAATGTGCTGAATCGTGTGATCAGCAATTTGTTCGGAGGATAACTTCAGTTCATTAATGACTTCTGAATTTGAAGGGAGCATGCGTGTGGAGTCTTGAAATCGTTACCTTAACACCCACGAGGAGCATCCAGGCGATGAACCCGTCGTAATTTTACCACCGAGGAGTCGGAATATCGCGAGTTTTTAGCTTTAGAACCGAAGACTTGAGATAATATTTTTTTTATCATTAAGATGCCCGCAACTCTTGCCATTTGCGAACGCCTGAGAATAAAGGCTTTGTTCAAAATATCGTTTTGGAGTTTGTTGCTTAGCTCCTGAACGGGGAGAACTGGTGGAATCGCTGGAAAAAAGGCCGTAGACTGAGCACGGTCAAAAGAAATGGAAGGTGCAACATAATCCGAATTGCGGAAAGTACGAATGCATAAGGACTGTTAAGTGATGAAGTAAACGTAAAGAAGTACTGTACATATAAGTACAGTACATTACTTGGTTATCTGCCAGAATTGGAAATCAAGTGAACATCATATTAAAATCTTCGGGACGAAGAAGCGAACGCCACCGAATCGTTGTACTGTACAGTATTTTAATTAGTACAAGGAGTCTCCTGAAACGAGATGCCTGATCATTAATTTCTCCAACTTTCGTACTTTTTTCGAAAATGACTTAAGATAATCTGAAGGAATTGATGAGGGAGAAAATTAAACTGATCCTCTACTCGAAAAGTCTCCTAAGAGGCTTAAACAAGATGTTTGATGCATCAAGAATGCCAGCATAGAGGCAATTTCCATTGGTGTGCCACTTTTGCAAGATATCTATATGGAAACTTGCCCCGGAGATTTTCAGTTTTCAGACACACCCGTCTGAGTTAAATTTCCCTGCGTACAGCCCATACCATACCCCGCAGATTTGGCGAGTACAATAAGATTCTTCGATATTGACGGCATTTCCTGCAACAGTCAACATATTAGGCCCATGCGGACATTAACCGTTCCGTTTCCTTCTTGCTTCACATAAACTTAATTCACCGAATGTCCGAGTTCATCGCGATTATAAGTTTATAACTGAAATGAATGACTTACGGGCCTCAAAAGTCTCCACACATTAAATTTTGTTCGAAGATAGTCCACTAAATTAGACTCACCGAGTCAGTCTGCGGAAAATGAAACATAACGCTTGCCTCATCCAACATGTCTTGTAATTTCTAAACGCAGCTCCCAGTAATTAGAACAGAAAACCATATTGCATTCTGATTGTTCACAATCAACTTTGGAACCCTCAACAAAAAATTATGGCCAAATCCATACACGTCTCCTCACTACATCTGGAACTGGCTCGTCCAACCTCCGCACCGTTGAATCACAATACTCCGTGACGATCTCAAATGCAATGCTGAACCGGAGGTCATTCACTGTTCAGAACCGCTGAAGCCATATCCAGAATGAGATTCAAGAAATTTCTGAGAGTAGACCAGGAATTTAAGTTCAGAACAAGCTTTCAGGAAGGACTTCAGCTTTTACTTCATTCATGAACTACGAAATCAGTTTCAACCTAACGCCCAACAGGCGCTTGCACAAAAACCCGGCTCGAAATCAGCTGTTCCTCGAACCAATCGAAGAAAGAAGTCATACAGTCACAGAAGATCGAATCTCATCAACAGAATAGACGAACACGGAGGAAACGTACACGGAGTAAAATAAAATAACAGGGATTGCGGAGAATGCGTCGGGTGACTTCAAAACGCGAAGAGCAACAAGAACGCCATCATCAAACAGAACAGCCCCATGGCTTCGGACAAGGCGAAACCAAGAATTGCGTAGCTGAAAAGCTGCTGCTTCAATGAAGGATTGCGCGCATACCCGATGATCAGGGAACCGAAGACACTTCCGATTCCAGCACCTGCTCAGAAGAGCACGTGAGACCCAAAATACATGAGACACTTATTCTATTCGACTCACCTGATCCGGCAACCCCTACAGTGGCGGCTCCAGCTCCGATAAACTTGGCAGCAGAATCAATATCACGCTGAACGGCTGACGTTCGAAGGGTTTCCAATGCTACAAGCATAGGGGATGCTGTAGAAAGCAATCCCGACTCAACCTTCTTTTCAGCTGTTTGTCCGCCATAAACAGTGCTTGTGAGGGGACTGGCACTGAGGCGAGCGGAGTTGACAACCTGTGAACAGCATAAATATGAAGTGCTTCGAGCAATTCGTTGAAGGCAAATTTACGGCACGAACAAAACGGACATGTCACAATGAAGCCCTCGATTCTGAAAACTACGAAGCGAGCGGAGTTGACAACCTGTGAACAGCATAAATATGAAGTGCTTCGAGCAATTCGTTGAAGGCAAATTTACGGCACGAACAAAACGGACATGTCACAATGAAGCCCTCGATTCTGAAAACTACGAAAGCGCACGGTCATAATCGGAACAGCCTTCCGCACATAAGCAGAACTCAAAATTGGAGTTGAAAAACCCTTCAATCGCAAGACATTCTTCCGGAGAACATTTTACTAACAGGTGTAGCGAATCCCTACAACTTGCAGTTATCTCATTCTTCGGCAACAAAGGGAGGACCGTCTGCAGGGAACGCGGTAATTGAGTTAGATTACCAGCAGTAGCACGCAAAATAATTCAATAACACCAACAACCTCAAGATCGTCGCGAAATGTTCTTGCAGCATTGCGAATCAAAGGGAAAAATCGAACACAATACAGTAATGAGAACTGGAGTGACATCGATGGATCAGTAACGTGGAACTTCGCGGTACTACTCATGGTCGTCAGATCTCGGATGCATCATCTCATCTTTCTCAGAAGTCGACAAAAAGTTTTGCTTGTTTCTGTGATACGTAATTTCTTGCCGTGAACTATTAGAATTTTGCAGTCCTACTCCAGAGGCCGACATTCGAGACAAGATCAAGATTTCAAAATGGCTATAACTTCGAAAACATGAATTTAAAAGCCGTCTTTCCCCATAACTTACGTTGGAGCGAGCAATCGCAGCGGACCTGGCGAGGAACATCTTGACGTTTTCTGGGACGAGGAGCTGCGGCGTCGGAAGAAATTAAAGGGACACAGGAGCTTGCGATTTGTAGGCACCATTTTGCTCCTGTAAAGTCACGTGACGAATGGAAGTCGAATACAAGTTTATCACTAACCAGTGGCTAGATGTCGTACTGACGGATTTCAGTGCCTTCTGTGAACAAATTTCTTGGATAACCGATCAAGTGATGTCTCACTTCTAGGGAATGTTATTTTTCTCCAGTAAAATGATAAAGTTAACGCAGTGAAGGTTGACTTTTGAAAAAAGGCCTCTGCACGTTCGAAAGAAAACTAAGGTCTACCCCGAGATGAACTGTCATAAGCTTTTGAGAAATCGAACTCTCGCGGAAATTTGGTTCTGGAAATACACAGTTGATTTCAAGTTACCTGAAACAAGTCCCGACGAGTCTCGTACTGAATATTTATCAGATTTGCATATCAAGAAGGAATCGACAAAAGTTTCATACACCTTCACAGTCTTCATTACTCCATTCGACAGACAAACTGACAAAAATATAAAGCTTCGTGTTCCTTCAGCTCAATGACGAAATTTCACTTCCGAACTATCTTCTTCGCCCATCTCAACTCGTGAGTAAGCCACACTGCGGAACCCAGAGTCGCTAGGGATCCCATTTGATGCATGGATGCCAACCAGGTCGGAACGTACATGAGCAGGGTTCCAATACCCATAGCCACCTTGAAAAGAATCGTTGAAATAAATCAGAACACTTCCTCACGTAGTGACGTAAAGCTAACGAATGTCAGTTCTTTTCAATCATACTTTCGCATGCTTCAATTCCGCGATATTACGTCAACCGCTAGACAAAGACATTGAAAATTTTTTTTCAACAAGAACGATACCCACCTGTAACCAACCGAAGCAAATGAGCGCAGTTGCGGCAGAATGTGCTCGACCCGGCAACTTCACGCGACGACTCATCAAATATAGACCAGTGACGCTAGCTAGCACAGTTGTACCCTTTTTGAATACAAAGAATGATGAATTTAACTCTTCAGAAGGCAAAAAGAGAATACCATACCAAAATCCTATGATTAAACTGCACAGTCGTAGGATTTTCGGTGACATTCCGAACTCCTGGAGTCAACGCGGCAATATCGGAGGGAATCCATCGATCTGCCATTTTTGGGAAGGAATTGTACACCAACCCAGCGTCAAGCCCAGCCACGAAAGCACCTGAAATGCAAAAGCACTGGGTCTTTTTTCAAGTTCCAACATCACAATACACACGTAAAAAGGCATTTCAATTTAAAGTGAACAGTAAAATGCTTTATGACTGAGAAAAAACGGAGGGCTCCTTTTTCTCATGTAGAATCGAGTTTAATATTTCTGATTATTTCAATAAATTGGTTCGGTTACGTTAGCTTACGATTGGGGTAATTCAAGTCACGGTTGATAATTAAGGATTTTTCCAGCAATGGCCCATTAATGTTATTGAGAAAATTGTGAATCCAGAGGAAGACTGAACACATATTCGTAACAATGAGGTAAAACAAGTATCCCCAACCGAACACTGGCCTATTGCTTCAGAAGTCTAATGACATTACGTAAGGGAAAAAGGGAGGACGCAGTGCGCACCCGAAATCGCAGTCAAGAAGATGAGGCCCTTCGTGGAATGTGCCACCATTCTGAACTTCCTCAATTGAGGAGTGACCATTTGCGGATTCACAGACACAGCTGGAATCAGAATATCGAAACTTGACCACAGGAACAGCGCATACAGAACAACTGCCATTCCCAAGTGCGAGGCTAAGCGGTATTGCGAAACTCGTGGAACGTCTTCTTGCTTCTGAAATCGGTCCTCCAGTCCACTTTTGACCATGTACCAACCTAATAAACCCTGCGAAAATGCATAAATTCATTGAAGTCGATTCGAGGCACTACTTCAGTTGGATCTTCCAGGATAGTCATCTTTTGTGAGGGACATTTCAAGAGCTTTCGTCTTAGAATGTGCAGTGCAATCATCGACAATATTTCCTGTCACCCATTTCCGATCCGACACGTCTGCTTTTAAACAGACAACATCCATCCTCAAATTGACCTCTTCAGCAAGTTCAAGTGATTCAATTTGCAGTGAATCACTTGATTCACTGCGCGATGTGTTCCGAAGCAAAGTCATTAACCGAAGACACTCGATTAGGGATCAAGAACGTGCCGAAATTTCGAAAATTCCTAAAAAATCCACATAATTCGAGTTCTTGTCCATGTCCATCATTCGCAACTTCGTGAATATCTTCGTCATTCAATAGGTGTCGCTAGAAATACTTCAATGTTCGACAGTTCTTCAATTTCCACTTTATGTGGATTGGGGTACATTACCGTACAGTATTTACTCAAGTATCACACGCTGACACGCACCTTCTTTCCTCTAACTTGAGAGGAAAAAGGGTGTGAGCGCCAAAAGTGAGCATAATTTTATCAAAACGTTTTGGATGTTTAGGTGGACATATTACAATATTTGATTCCTTTGAGACATTTTTCGACTAATTTTAACAGAACACCTATTGTAATGGAAACAATAGAAAATCATTTGGATTCAGCTGCAATTCATGTATAAATTCGAATTTGGGCGTTGATATTTTTGAAATATTGCAGGTTTAACCACTAAAAATGGGGTGCGAATCTTAGTCAGGGATATAATTTCATTAAAATTTTTGAATGAAACCCATGGTGAGCGTCTCACTCAATGGCGCGTGGTACTAGATATCACTATAAGACAATGCTAAGTGACAAGTATTCGGGAGAGAATCAATAGAATATTTTCTTCCCCACGAAAGAAAGGGTTGCGCAACGAGCTATTTGCAGTGATGAGCATGCGTCACAGAAACGCGAAAAAAGAAAAGTCTAATAATGAATTTTCGTTCACGACACGGACCTGTGCCAAAATGAGGGTTCCAAACGCAGCTACTCGACGCTTCATGGGGGTCGGGAACCATCCCTTATACCAGAAATATGTCGCTGGTAACAGGAAGAAAGCTCCAATTCCACGCCCCCACATTCGATGCATGTACTCCATCCACCAGATGAACTTGAATTCTTCCAAAGTCATGTGAGAATTCTTCCTAAAAAGCGATACGAGACAGTTTTTATTCGTGGGATTCAAATTTTAAAAAAGAAATCGAACTTACAATTTGAACTCAGGAAACTGCTGATACTTTTCGAATTCTTTGACCCATTGTTCCTGCGACAACGGAGGTCGTTCTTTCATTATGTGCCAATCCGTCATGGACAAACCGGATTCCGTTAATCTCGTCAATCCCCCTGGAACAATTCAATCGATTTTCAGGGAAAAATTAGACGCACAAATCCAAGAGTGAAATCCACATTTACAGGATGAACCGAAAAGCAGATCGATTTCCGAACTGTTATAGCTTCTGAATGCGAAGACCTATCATAAAACTTGAAATTAAAGTCACAGGAATTATGTTTTCGATGATCAAGATTTCTTGGACTCTCACTACATCCGAATGACAATCATGGTCGGTTGGTCGTCACTCATCACTCACACTACTATACTGTACTTTCTCATTACAGTAATTCTGGTTCATCGTAATAGGAGTAGAAAAATGTCTTAAGTTTTCGAAGCGCATGCGTATTGCATTGTATGCTTTGTCCAATGTCACATATGAGTTTGAACAGGATCTGAGTTTCAAGTGCAGATTTGGCAAATAATTCCCAGATTCATAATTTAACTGTAAGGAAATAATTACAGGTTTGGATGAGTTTTTTCAATTTTTCCACAGCAACAATAAAAATAAAACCTGCACACTGTTGTTGAAAATTCAAGACCCACTGAACGCGCTACCCACCATTCAGATTACCTGTACTTCAAAAGTTTTAAAACATATATTTTATGTAACAAGAAAAATTAAGAAGGAAATTCAAGGAAGCCCGAGAAAGAGTTTCATCGATGGAAAAAAGGTACCCATTTATTACTGGGATATCGCCAGGATATGTCGAGCCGGAAAGTTGCATTGTACAGTGCTGTAATTTATTCAACATTTTTTGGAGGGAGAGGGAAGAATGTCAAAATTTATGACATTCTTCTGTCAAATTTAGTTCGTCGGGGTCAAAATGTCAAAATTTATGACATTCTTCCCTCTCTCCGAAAAATGTTGAATAAATTACAGTACTGTACAATGTAACTTTCCGGCTCGACAATGTCACAATTTGTGACATTCTTCCCTCTCTCCGAAAAATGTTGAATATATTACAGTACTGTACAATGTAACTTTCCGGCTCGACACATCCTTGTACAATGTAACTTTCCGGCTCGACACATCCTGGCGATATCCCAGTACTAAAATGGGTACCTTTTTTCCAAGTCAATAGTGCACAGTAGTTCAAAGGGGATTATAAATACCGTATCATTCCTTCATCATGTCGTCGACTCTGAATATGAACAGAAAATCTTTGAAAATTATTTCCCACGCACACGCTAAAAAATACTTTCAAAATAATGTGCACAGTATACGAAAATTACGTAAGTTTCATGTGCATATATACCAATATACTGGATTTTTTAGGTTTTTTATGTCTTTTCATCACTCACACACCAAGGGCGACGGCACCAAAAACCATTCCGGTACATCCTACAAGCCATCCACCGACGAACTTCCTTCCTTCCGCCGGGATTTCACATTTGGACTTCAAAGCATTGCCGAAGCTTGTGGACATTCTGTTACAGACTTTAACCTGTAAAACGGAGTCAAACATGAGTCGGGCGCATGAAGAAATAATTCAGGAAAACGTACATTTAACATGCCGGATGCGAACTTGGTCGTGAGCGACACTTTCGCACACCCTTGCGGAGAGGCGACGAATTTACCGAATCTCCACATGCTTCGCAAATGTAGTACAGTATATCTATTTATTCGGGGAAAACGTGGATTAGCGTAAATAATACACGAACTCCGCAACGTTTAACATAAAAAAAAGCGCACACTGATCAGAGATTCCGATCGACAAAAATATTCTGATAGACCTTGGATCGCTTGAGTTGAATTTATCGCGTTATACATCGTCGAGGAAAAGCTCTCAACAAACAAACAAAAAACGAGGACGAATACTGGCCTCTTTTTCCTTACACTTGTTCATCTCATGCTCAGCTTAAGACTGAATTCTGCCTCTAACTGCCGGAAAAAAGTTGGTTATAAGACTTAGTTTTCAACGAACAACTTACTCATTACGTAAAACGCACAGTGAACCAGAAAAATTAAGCAGATTTTCAATCAAAATGAATCAACATCTGATTTTCTGGTGGAATGTGAGGTATGTTTAATGCTTTCCGAGCTTTTCACTTAATAATCTTATAAGAGTACACGCCATCTTATGTTTCGGATAGACATCTATAAAATAATTTCTTTTGAAAAAGGGCATATGAACAGCAAATAAGTACAATACTGCTCCTCAAAAACCAAAATTTTAAAAACCCGTACAATACTGTACGGTATTTCCTCCGAAAGACGATTTGATCATGATAAAGCTACGAGTACTTATACAGCTGGGCTCTCTCTACAAAGAAATTCCGGTGGAAAAATTTTTTTTTAGAGAACCCGTATAAGAATACGATGAGCAAAGAACACTATGGGGCCCAAAACAATTCGTTATTGGGTGAAGAGAGAATTTTTTTCGACAAAATCGCTGTAGAGAGAGTTTACATCATTACTTGTATAAGCCTTCGCTAAATTAAAAGCCTTATTTTTATCTTTAAAAAATAAGATAGAAGAATCTTCATTTTAAAATGAAGATTACCCCATGCAAATGCTGAACTGTCATTCCTCAGAATGCTTTTTCAAGTTCTAGAAGTTACATGGTTGAAAAGCGGTGGTTGAGAAGAGAGACAGAAAACTGATTAGACGTAGTAATAAGGCAGAATAACACTCTTTTCGATTAACATCGTCTTTCGAATCAGCAGAAAACTTCTCTGGAATCTCTTCAACAATTTCACCTTCGCAGTTTCCAGTGCCAAAAGGCAAAAAGTAACAAAATGAAACATTTTCTGAAACTGAAGAAACGTCAATGCCACAATTCATTCTCCTGACCGAACGAAATGGAGACGGGAAATCACTCCGATATACGATGTGTTCTTCAACTCAAAATGGTACGATTGGGACCCATCACTCCAGATCACGAACCTGAAAATTGAAATACGTTCAGCATCACTCAACATAAATCAAATACACAATTCACTTCATGGACAACGCTCCATTGAGCCGAATCACTCAAATGTGTTAAAATAACCTGGGGCAAAGGATAAGAGCTTCGGTAAATTATGCTTAGCCCGACGTTGGATGAACCTCGTGATACACGATGTTCAAGAAGTACACATCTGTGCAATAGAAATGTTTTACGACACCCATGCTCTTCCATTCGATGGCATACAAAACCTACCAGTTTAACCAACACATTACACATCTGTTCCACGGAGAATGCAATGTTTTGGAAAGAAGAGATGAATCGGAATCACACATACTGTTAAATCTCGGGAAGAGTATTAGAGGAAAAAGTGAAAGTAAGTTTGGAGATTACGAATCATAACACGCAGTCCAGAATGATTCACGCACTACTAGTCCAATAAAAACAGAAATATTCGCAATAGTACCGGTAGACAAACATAGAAACGGTATCGTTGAACCCTGAGCATCTCTCCGTAGATAGCAAATGAATCGAATTTTGACCCATACGAAAAAAACGTCTCCAATTACTTTTTCACGTACAATATTCGTTGGGAATATGTCTTATGTTCCTCCTCTTTTTCTGTCCAACCATACTTCGACACAAAATATTGTGTGTTCGTAACTACCTTGCACAGGTAAACTCTCCCTACAACAATCTTGCCTGCAATTCATATGCACAACGAAGTTTCTTTTGGTCCCATAGGGGTCTCGACCCATCTTGTTCTCTACAACAGAAGTACTGTATCTTAAAACGATTCTTTTTCAGGACTCCTTGAATTTTGTTGTAGAGAGAGTTCACCTGTACTATAAGATTTATTCTGGTCCACAGGTGAGTGAATACAACGATACCTTGCAATCTATCAGAAAAAGGAGCTCTCACGTCTGAAACCTTGTCAGAAAAGATCTACTCGGGAATAGTTCAAAACTCCTCGATAAATTTGTAATCATGTTGAATGAAAAGTTGAACGAGTGAGACGGCTCAAACGGAAAATATGCCATTTTTTGTCACACAAAAAATTTAAATCAACAACGCAATCAAGTTCCACACGACGGCGACATTGCCATAGTTTCCACACACAAAAAAAAGCATTCACAAATTTTCTAAGCCAAAACGTCAACAGATCAATGAATATCCTTTCAACCAACGGAAGAAATTCAATCAAAAAATATACTTAAAATTTAAAAACACATTTCATCACGTACAACAACGTGAACTTAAAATTATTCTCCGGGCTTCCATAATATGAAGTAATTTTCCAGAATACCATCACGGCTAGTCGGCGAGTTGAAGACATTTTCTCAGCGCCCCGGTTGAGCGTTGACGTAGACAATTAAACCTAGGTTTAAATATTCCTTTATGCGTCCGAGGAAACCGAACACTCAGCTGAGAAAAAATAAAAGCTGAAGTGGAATCACAACGCAACCGCTTACAAATCACGTCATCGGTTCGAAACAAATTATTCAATAAATTTTTCCACTAGCAAGAAATAGAGACGCGAATTCAACGGAGCGAAACACAGCATAAATTTTGGAAACAATTCGAACAGTGAGTCTCTTCCGAAAACGGCGGATATGCTGTCTGTCGTTTCCTTGGTTTCAGACTCAGTCTCGATGGACTAGCACGAAAAGCCCTAAACACGCCAGCACCGCATACTAGAAACAAACGAGAGAATAAAAAGTTTAGGTTCTTGTGCAATATTGGTGTCACAAGAAAATGGCAACACATACAAAAACTCGATAATAAATGTAAAAACACAGGAAGACTAAACACAAGCAACTAAAAATTCAAATCGACCCCTAAATTCAAAGAAGGGCGCTAAAACGGATAAAATAAAGTGATGGAAGACACCCTCGTGAATGACAAATGAGATCCAAGGAAAAAAAGATCTACACGACGGTATTGACACTTTTACGCAGTTTTCGTTCAACGTGATTCGTGTTCTATTAATTTTTCAACAGGAACTGGAGAATGAATCAGCTCTAGTTATACACGGCTGCACTTTTAGCTGGACCACTTCCTGATAGGCACTGTGCCTACTTCAAAATTCCACACTTGGAATTATTCGTAGGAACTACGTATTCCACATGGAAAATCGAGTCAAAATATTTCACAGTACTGTATAATTAGCGATGAACTCACCTTTAATTTCGGATAGTCGTTCATTAATATTGTAACGATACCGACGTGAGGGACAAACCCTCGCGCGCGACCAACAACATCTCTCGGCGTAAGCCATAGTTGACCGGGAGCGTATAAACCTCGATCATCAACATTGTTATTGTCTCCTTTTGTCAAGAATTTCACGGTTCCATTTCCCTGCTCATGTAATTTGATGACTCGGTGCACGATGGGAATATCCCGTCCTTCGACTTTGAATACCACAATCTCGCCGACTCGTATAGGATCTTGCTCTTTGTTTGTGAGAAACAGAAGATCACCTCGGTGAAATGCTGGTTCCATACTTCCACTGAAAATATACGAAATAGATGAATTAATAATTTCGGAGAGAATAAAAAGCCTTTGAATTACCTCAGCACAACCACGATTGGGCTTTCGCTTCCTGTGAATACCATGAGACCCTTCCAAATCATTAAAGCCGAAGATATTATCATTGCGAAGTTCAGAACCTGAAACGCAAGCTGATACGGGCAGATTTGTCAATACCAGCGACCGATTTTGAATCATAAATTTCAAGTCGTAACTTACTTGGCGCCGATTCATGCGCTTCAAGTCGTCTAACATTTCGGAAACCAAAAACATGATGAATCACAAACGGTTCTGCAGAAAAAAAAGGAACACTTGAAATTTTACAAAAATCTCACGAAATGATCTGCGTCACCCAATGAATTTCACGTTGCTCATCGCAATACTCGTGGGTAAAATTTCGAAACCATCACCTCATTCAATGCATTCCGAAACGTGAAAAAAATTGAACTTTCGTCACAGCTGAGGTCAATTCAAACCGATGCCAACTCAAAAAGAAACGAGTAGTACGAGGTCGATTTTCTCACACGACTTTGTACCTGCCAACGTGGAATTATTTGGTTAAGAACGCCGGACACGGTTGGCAGGATTGCGGGAACATTCTTCAGATGTGTGGTAAACAAACCGATGATGATATCCGCAGTAATGTTTAGTTCCTCGGGCCGGAGCATCTTGAATATCCGTGGTTCGCGCAATGGGCTTACAGCAGTTGGATGGATAAGTTTCGTCGTGACATGTGCTGTAATGGTGAGCCTCCCGCGTTACCTCCAACCAAGTGCAATCTGGATGCTCGATGAGTTTCATCCGTACACAATCAGCTACGTCTGGTTCACAAACAAGCAGCAATTGCGCGACAAGGGCATGCTTGATAGCATCTTCGTGCATTTTAACCTCTTCTCGCGAATATTGTAGGTAACGAATATATTCCTTTTCGAGACGGTATCCGAAACAATGGAAGTTTTCCTTGGTCTCTCGACGTAAAGTCTGGAATCGTTGAAGGCGCTCAAACTTTGAGATTCCGAAAAACTGAACTAATCTTCGTGAGATTTCATCGTAGGTTATAACACCATTTCCATAAATCAGATGGACAGCCTCGATAACCTTATCCGTTGACTTCCTCATGAGACACGATATTTTATCCCGTTCTTCCATTATGTAGAGCTTTGAGAAGATTTCGATACGTCTCAGGTAGTCTTCGATGTCTTCATCTTCAAACTGCCTCAGCATTTTCATTTCGCATTCGCTTATCGCTGGTTTTAAGTCGCTACCCACATTGTCGCTTTGGATCTTGGGCAAGGTTCCCATCTTCTCAAACGAATCGTCACTCGCACTGATTCTAGAAAAGATCAAAACGCACCAAATTTATACAGACAATCGTTCTCTCGATTGTAATAACACTAGCTGATTCGCTGAAAACATGCGACTAAATGAGAGAAACTGTCCACCGGTTTCAGAAATTATCCTAGCGTTGACGTCTCATTCGTTGGAAATGTGGGTGATGTAAGTCGCCATCACTGCATAGAGCCAGTTCGTTAAACGCAAAGGGTTTGCAACTGAAAAATATCGGGAGTAATTTATCGTATGTACTGTACATTTTTAATAGCCTAATATTTTAAAATACAAGTGTACAATATGTACACTATGCAGTTCACTGTTCTCGGGTTTCTCATCATACCAATTTGCACTACGCAGTACATGTATGTACGTGTGCATTCCGTTACGATGAAGCATGCGTATTTCCATTTTAACGACGAAGCAAAGTGTAAGCACAATAAAAATTGTGAGTTTTATTCATCATTCTTGGACTTTTTTCAATCCAAAAATTGTTGCACTGCATTGTCTTTGCATGCGATTAGAAGCACTTCCTTCTTCTTTATTTTGAGCTAAAGACAACTGCGTAAAACAGTACAGCATGGTATGGCTGGTTCCTGCATAACTCAACATGGAGGATTAAGTTAAGTGATGATCCGTGAAGAAACAAAACAAATTTCCTTTTGTGAATTACGAAGGGGAATTACGGCATTCAAGTCTGCTAAGTGTAGCTGACAACATGTGTCCGAACAGGCCAAGCTGCAGGAGACGTTCCCTGCTCGTTCATAACTTCAAGAGCGACATCTATTGAGTACCATTTCTATCCCAAAAATCTTGTCTACAGCGTTTATTGACTAGCTGACAGACCTTTGCATCGCGTAAAATCTAAGATGCGGATGGGGCACGCACCAGGACTCACCCGCACAGAAATCAACCCCCCGCCCCCTGCGCTTGGCGGTCCACCCTCCGCGCTTGGCGGTCTGCCCCCGCCAAGGCACCTAGTCTTTCCTTGGGTGACAGACCCCCACCAGCAAGGAGTAGGAGCTAGAGGAAGCTACTTATTTGAGCATCCTATATAGTTAAGGGTTCCAACCCTGTCCTTCTAATAAGGAATGCATTCCTTATTGGAAGGACAGAGAGTCAGGAGCGGATCCCTTCTGTTTCAATATTCACTTGAAAGCGACCGTGCCTGTTAAGATCAGCTTCACTTGCAAAATCCGTATCCTTTACAGAATTTTTAAAATCCGAGGGCTCACAGCACCTCCTCTGAATGCTGTTATTCAGATGATATAAAATATACTGGCATCCAGCATATAGTAACTGCTTGACAGCAGACCATGTATTGTACTGTATATATTCATTGCTCTATATGGAATTGGCGTATGCTGCATTATCAAACTCCCTCCAGACAAGAAACAATCTGTAATAAATGAGTTGGAAAAATTATATGCAAAAAAGTGCATGAGAAATTATTGCACTGTGCAAGTTATTGTTGCTATCCCATTTATTTATTTTTTCAGGGTGGAAGTATATAGTCAGGGTGCAACTTATTTGTTTGTTATTTCATTTGTTGCTATCCAAGTTGTCAACGGCGGCTCCCTCTAGCTTCTTGCTGGTGGGGGTCTGTCACCCAAGGAAAGACTAGGTGCCTTGGCGGGGGCAGACCGCCAAGCGCGGAGGGTGGACCGCCAAGCGCAGGGGGTTGATTTCTGTGCGGGTGAGTTCTGGTGCGTGCCCTGCGGATGACGCGGATCGCAGGAGATAAGAAGACAAACGTAATGCTTCAGGAAGAAAAATTGCATTGACTTCATTTCGTTGGTGGTGCATAATTCATCAACGCGCATACATACACGAGAAAAGCAAATACCCCCCCCCCCGACGCAATACGCATCAGATGTCCATCAAAGATTTTCTTCCCATGAGTCGCGTGCGAGAAACAATCATCACAAATATATATAAAAAATACCAATCGGTTCCGCGTCCTCCACAAATTTATTTATACAGACCAAGACTAGAGAATACACAAGACAGCTCGTGTGTTTGACTTTTCCCACATTAACGCGGTGTGTTCGTAAAAGTACGTAAGACGGCTTCGAAATCAGGGACGGTAGGTGCGGATGACGTCCCGGATGATGGCCCGGCAGATGGGACACTGGCCCCCATTGTAACCTCTCCACTGACGCATGGCGCAATCGTAGCAGAGACACATATGGCCACACGTATACAGCACCGAGTCCACTGGCTTCTCGCAGCAAATCGTACACTCGTCAAACGTCTGCGCTGCCCCATCAGGCTGATCCTCTTGCTGCAGCTGCTGCTGTTTTTGCGGCAATGCTGTCTGAGTTGGCAGGAGCAACATGGAGGACGGATGAGCGAGACGCGGGTGCGTCTCGACCTGTTGCTGCTGGTAGCGTTGTTGATGAGCAACAAGGTGACGGCCGTCCACAGCAGACGATGGCGAGGACCCAAGGGTTTGGGACACCAAGAGAAGAGATCTCGGACGAGGCTCGCGTCTGGACGTCGCCGTTCTTGTTGCTGGTGGCGCACTACTACCACCACCACCGCCGCCATTACTTCCCGTCACAACCGGTTGTCGAGTCGGAGTCGAGCTTGGCGTGACTGGGGCACTCGTAGCCGCAGCAACACTGGGGGAAAACGCTGTTGAAGTAGATGTCGCCACCATGATCGCGTCATTGACTACGGCCAACTTCTGCACTGAGCCGTGCACGTCAAACATCATCCACAGCGGTTGCGTCACGTCCGCGTGCAACAATACGCGCGGGACACCATTGTTCTTGGACACGGTCACGGCTCCTGAAACGAACAAGAAAAAAACCACGAATCCAGTTAAAATTCCGCTGATCATTGCAAGGATTTGTTGAGGTTCCCTCGTTCCCGGCAACTTCCCCCAACAAACACGTTCGTTAAATCGACTCACACTTGAATTCTTCTTCCATGTAATTGACGCATTACTTGTGCCAAAAGTTGGTCCAAATTTTTCCCAGCTAAATTTCACGCCCAAGGAATACCACAATCCTCTTTAGTTGTAAGAGGTGTACTCACAGAAATAATGTTTTTTTTCTTCAAGAAACGTAGGCATGAATCAATAAGGGATACCCCATGAATTTATCTTTCCAAGGCAAAATAAACTTAGCCTCGAATGATTTAATTTATACAAAATTGTTCTATTATTGCTGTAGTAATTTAAAAAGCTTCTCTTTTGTTGTCTAAATATAGGGACCAAAAAGACTAACTAGTTAATTTTTCCAAACTAAATTCAATTTCGCCAGTTTGAAATTTGCCACATACAGTACTTGAACATTGACAATTCAAATATCCACAATTTCAAATTTGCTGTGAATCCAAGACCGAATTCCCACATGTCCAATGCAATTCAAAGTTTTGAACTTCCATAAATCAAAGCTACTTTTTTGGTTCAAATCGCTGTAAGTTTAAATTTCACGGACTTTTTTAAAATTTCAATGGGGATCAATTGTAGAACACCAGTTCAAAAAAAAAAATGCAGACGCAGGATTATTTTCTATATGCTTTCCACCAGGGATTAGGCTTCTTCCTGAATTCAGGACATCTGTGAATAATGAACAGTTTACAGTTTTGGCCAGAAAAATATTTTCATTCATTCATCTACCCAAATACAATACTGTAAACGTAAATTTCATAACTTGAAAATGTTCTGGTCCAAGTTGTGGAGTCCCTTCAAATTTGACTTCTGAGGGTTTCCAATGTAAATTCAAGTTCCGATAAGCTTTTCTCTCTTTTCTATGTCCCACATCTATCAAAGGGCAGTTTTTTTAATGACTGTGGTATTCAACTTGGAAATACTGTATAAAATAAAATAAAATTAACATTAATTGCATTGAACTTGTTTTTGTGATAACTTTTGCTTTTAAAATCTTTCAGATCGAAAGAATTTATGGCTGGTTGCAAATCGGTCCGACATTTGATCTGGAAATTTCTGAAAATACTGCATAAAGTCTTGCTTAACACAATTTGTTTGTGGTCCCACGGGGTTCACTAAACAAAAATTGTCACGACTTTTTTCTGGTTGAATTTCGTTTTAGAGTTCCCCTGAATACGCGTCAATGATGATGTGTGTGTGTGTACCACCCACCTCATCTACAACAATCAAACCACACCCAAAGTCTGAAAACTCATCAAACTCACCACTGTCTTGGATGGTGAAGGCGAGCACATCGCCCCGCTGGGACACACCGACAACATCCTTGACCACAAGCCAGTACTCGGGTCGGTCCAGCAACGAGTCCAGGTCATCGCCTTCGAGCTGGTCCAGGTCCAGAGCAGGACACAGGGAACCAGGGTCGCAGACAGTGAGGCCAAAACCGAGGCCAGCTGGCCCTCCCACTCCTGTTTGCCGCACCTGCACCACCACTGTCTCACCCGCACTCAAGGGCCTACTCGTGAACACGACATTGCCCGATGCTGCCGAATGCCGATCATTGTTGTGTCGCCAGGCAACGTTGAGGTACTCGTTGAGGCTCACGTTCTTGCCTCTCGTTCTGCGCAACAAATTATGCATACATTAGTCATAAAAAATCACTGCTGTATCAGAGTACAGTAAATCTACTATAATAAAGTTACTTGCCGTCCGGTGTTCGCAGCATTTTTTTAATTTTCACAGGTGCTCCCTTTCCTTTTGCCCCCTATCCTCACTCCCACCCAGCCCCAGACAGGCCTGCAGGAGGGTCGCGTTTCCCGGCGTATCAACTTTCAAAATTTGTTAAAAATTGAATTTTCAATAAAATGCACTTTTTAAAACTTTAAAAGAAGCGCCACGATGTTTGCTGTCTTTCCCATTTTCAAATTTAAAAAAAGCTCTAAAATTGACAAAGTTACAATGAAAAACGCAAAAACGTTTTTCAAAAACGGGGATTAAATGGGAAAAAATACTTTTATATTTTTAATTTTAGCTTTTCAAGTTTTTGGTTTTGCTCAATGAAAAAAATACCTAAATTCACAAAACATCCATGTGCAATCACCCCTAAAATATGATTAACATTCCACTAATAACAAAAAAGTTATCATGGGCTAAACTGAAAAAATGGACATTTTTGAAAATTCCATTTCCTGTTTTGCTAACTTTAAAAATTTGTCAAAATTTCAATTATTGAGCAATTTCCAAATTGTTTCAAGAGTTACGTGCGCAATGAAGTTTCCAACATTTCCTTTTTAGACATTTTTGAAAATTCCATTTCCTGTTTTGCTAACTTTAAAAATTTGTCAAAATTTCAATTATTGAGCAATTTCCAAATTGTTTCAAAAGTTACGTGCGCAATGAAGTTTCCAACATTTCCTTTTTTGAAATGTTTGAAAATGAAGTTTTAACGTACTCTATCTTAGTTTTTGCGTTTTTACAAAAACTTTTAACATACTTTTAACCCTTTTTTTCTAAAACAAAAATCTTAAAAATGAGTAAGTTAAAAGTTGTAAAAAGTTTGTATAAAATATGTGAAATTGTTAAACATCTGTGCGCATGTAACCCCGCCAAAAAGTTTGAAATTTCATCAAAATCCTAAAAGTTAGAATGAGCTAAACAGAAAAGTTTGAATTCCTGGATATGCATTTCTTCCCATTTTGCCAAATTACAAAATCTGTTCAAAATTCAATTTCCACTCAATTTTAAAATTTCTTCCAAAGTTTCAAGAGCCCAGATGTTTTCTAAATCTCACTATTCACAATTTTGAGAACACTTCAAAATTGAAAATATGTGAAATTGTTAAACATCTGTGCGCATGTAACCCCGCCAAAAAGTTTGAAATTTCATCAAAATCCTAAAAGTTAGAATGAGCTAAACAGAAAAGTTTGAATTCCTGGATATGCATTTCTTCCTGTTTTGCCAACTTACAAAATCTGTTTAAAATTCAATTTCCACTCAATTTTCAAATTTCTTCCAATGTTGCAAGCGCCCAGATGTTTTCTAAATCTCACTATTTGCAATTTTGAAAAAACTTCGAAATTGAATGAGCTATAGACAAAAACACAAAAACATTTTTGAAAAAATTGCAAAAATCAAGGGGGGGGGAATTTTCACTTCTTGATTTTCAGCTTGATCAATTTTCACCATTACTAATTGAAAAAAAGTTAATTTTCAAGAACATCTTTGTGCACACAGCCCTGTCAAAAATTTCAAGTTGGAATCATGAGAAAAAAATTGGCAAGGAGCTAAAGTGAAAATGTTTAAATTCTGTTAGGGGATATGGAAGGGAATTGAGCACGCCAAGAACCTTGAGAAGTGGTAGCAACTTCATCAAATTAGACAAGTAGGGTGCCCAGCCACACCTGGCAATGTGCATAAAACTGATGCTTCTTGGCATGTTACCAGCTTTCAGCATTCAATTTTTTAAAATTCATTTACATCATGTAATAACAATCATACATTTGTGTTTGGCTGGGCACTCCAAGTTGTGATTGTAACAAGAAATAAAATCCCCCTGCTCAATAAAGTGAAAATGTTTAAATTCTGTTAGGGGATATGGAAGGGAATTGAGCACACCAAGAACCTTGAGAAGTGGTAGCAACTTCATCAAATTAGACAAGTAGGGTGCCCAGCCACACCTGGCAATGTGCATAAAACTGATGCTTCTTGAGTACAATGGTCGAAAGTCGTAAGTTAAAAAATTTTAAGTAAATGTAGTACATTATTGTTAGTATGTAAACACAAACCGACCCGTGAGGTTCAACACTAACATTGTTCATTATTTTAGGGGGACGAGTTGTGCCAGTTGTGGCCCACCGGGCCACAACTAACACATTGAGCACAAGTACAAGATTACCGGTGGTCACCAGTTAACCAACTTTAATCAAAATTTTTTTCAAGTTCTTTACATAATTTGTAACAGTAACAAGTAATAAAATCCCCCTGCTCATGTGCCAGTTGTGGCCCACCAGGCCACAACTGACACATTGAGCACAAGTACAAGATTACCAGTGGTCATTCACCACTTAACCAACTTTAATCAAATTTTTTTTCAAGTTCTTTGCGTAATTTGTAACATGATAAACAGTTGCATATGGGCACCCCCTCTTCCACATATTAATTTCTGTAGTACATCCAACTTTTGAAAACTAAAATGTGTCCAATGCCCAGGTGTGGAAAAAATTGGCAAGGAGCTAAAGTGAAAATGTTTAAATTCTGTTAGGGGATATGGAAGGGAATTGAGCACACCAAGAACCTTGAGAAGTGGTAGCAACTTCATCAAATTAGACAAGTAGGGTGCCCAGCCACACCTGGCAATGTG